TAATATAACAACCAGGATCCTTATGTTTCAAAAGCATGAGCTTTGAGATCATATCATTGATATTAGCAATAAGAAAGATTTTCTTTAGAATATTTATTGTTTTCTTCTTAGTGCACAAATCCTTCAAAATTTTTGCATAAAAAGAGATTCGTTAGATGGCATCTAAGAGAGGAATACTAATTTTGACCTGCTTGAAGATTTCTAATATCTTTTCTACCTGAAAATAGTTTTTCCCTAGGCTTGAGTCTATCTGAAAAGGTAACAACTGGTTTTAACCTATCAAAATTGAGCTCAAGTTCGGTTTCAAGTTCTTGGTACTAACTTAACTATCGACATGTTTCCCTGCCTGTTGTGAATGAAATACATTCACTTGAGCCTGGTAGGTTGAACTTGATCCAAGGTCTTTAGGATTTATAATAGACCGAGTCAAAAAATATTACTTCCCTCGTTCACTCACAGTGCTAGATACTTGACCAAGTTAGGTTTCTAATATAGTTATGGCGTGAGTGTTAGGATTGAGCATTTGATCGGTTGTCTGTATGAAAGAATTTAAAGTATTGAATGACCGAGTCAACATATTGTGATTTGTGTATAAGCTTTGATCATGAATTCTAAACCTATTTTTAAGATATTCAACCATCTCTCATGATTACAATTTAGAGGAGCATAATTTACTATTTGATGATGAGAAGGCTGGTTTGGATGAAGCAAATTAGATTGTTGAAAATCATTCAGTGTGTTGAATGAGATTGTGTTTTCTCTAGAAAATGACTAGAAAACTATTGACTCAATCACATTCTCATATAATTCTTTAATCTTAATCATAAGACAAAGTTTCTCAAATTCAAAGATAAAAATATAAGCATCTTATGATTCATTTCCTAAGAAATTTAGAAGCATATTTATGAAGTACGGTTTAAGCTCCAAATTGCATCCAAAAATATCGGTGTGATAACATATCTTGAAGAGTGGGAAGATTAGGACTAGCCATTTTTTGGTTTTAAAAATTGATTCAACATGGATTAATTGATTGATATTATCCCTAATTCAAACTTACAAACACCAAACTAAATTCTTTTTGAAACTTTTTTCTTTCTTTTAATAAAAAGATAATTAGAGAAAAGATCTAAGAAAAACAAAACTTAGTTAAGTTTTTTAAAGGAAAAACTAAAAGACCTAAAAGATAAGTGAGAGAAGAGAAGGAAGATAAAAAGAAAAATCTAATTAAAAAAAAAGAGTGCGACTACTTTGAAAAAATAACCCTTAATTCTAGACTTAACTTTAGACTCAACTAGATCAGCTCTGAACTAAAAACTCATTGAGTGAGAAGATTAAAACTTACTCAGTTAGTTAGCTAAGTAAGAATAGTATTAGGGAGAGGCCAAAGATCAACTAAGTGTCTCTTTCCTTGCGGAGCGCTTTGCGTAATTCCTAAACCTTACCTTGAACACTGACGGATTCAAAAAACTTAAATTAGTTCACTTAAGTATTTCTTATGACTTAATGACTTTGAGTCCTTAGGTACTAACGTCTAACAAGTTTTAGAATGCTTGAGTTTGTATAGTTAGAAATTAATAATTTCTAGGCTAAGAAAAGAGTGATGAAATCCCTCATTTTATTTTGATTAGCAAATATTACCCTTAAGAGTATTTTTAAGTGAGTGCTCAAATCAAAAGTTTCAAATCACTTTGATAAATTCCTACTAACTACATGTAATGCAACCTTAAGAATTAAAAGCAATTATATAAAAGGATGCAAAAAGAAAATCTTTTTACTTTTTAATTAGGGTTAACAATTAAACAAACGAGAGAGAGAGTAGTCTTAATTGAACTTATTATCCTATTAGTAGTTGTTCAAGTGAAAGGTGGATTTTATTAGGGCCGGCAAGAGAAACTTTTTATTTTTATTGAAAGGTGGATTTTATTAGGGCTGACAAGAGAAACTTTTTATTTTTATTTTTTATATTAGATTCTAATTGTCTCTAATTATGATAAACTAAACTAGTGGGTGGAATTAAAAATACTAGAAAACACTTTCATTTTCAAGCAAATCTTCAATCCTTAATCTTTAAACTTTGAACTTGTTCCTTCATAAGAAAACACACAAATTAAAGAGCCAAAATAGAAAAATCCTAACTACAAGTTCCTTCCCTAGCAATGACACCAAAAACTTAATGTGATATGGAAATATCATTAAGATTGCAAGCGTACAATCAAATTATAATATATTTATAATATTGATCCTATGAGGAAGGTGTGTAGAAAAAAATTCTAACGATGATCCCAGATATATGTGGACAAAGAGGAGTGAAAATGAAAGTGTTATAGAGAGGGTGTAATTACTTATAAATAAAAGAAAACTTGAACAAGGGGAGAAAAAGAGTAAACAAACAAAAGAAAACAAAGACTAAATAAAGATGAGAAACTAAAAAAAAGAAAACAACAAAATCAAGAAGAAAAAATAATCAAAAAGAGGAAAATCAAATCAAGTAAAAGATAGAGAAAATGAAATAAAGAACATAGGAACCTAGAATTGAATCCACTAATTAATTTCATTTAATATTTTTGAATTACTCTCTTTTTTATCATATTTTACTACAAATTTACTAATCATAAATTATCAAGCCACTTAAAGAAAGCATAAACTATCTAATTATTAGCTAAGCAAAATCATCATTCATGGAAAGAATGAAAAACTAGATAGTATTTCTAGAATTCTGATGTAGAACACACAACATATATGTTTGAGTCTAAGTGAGACAGTCGCAAGCCCAAATGCGGGCCCGGTCGAGGAAAATAACTTGTTATAAAAAACATGTAACTTTCAAATCGTAAGTCGGAATTGGACGAATTATATATGAAAATTAGTTGTCTTAACGAGACGGAGTCGTTTTGCCAAATTCCTTACGGTTTGAGAGATATATGCGTTTTTGTTAAAATTTTACTATTTTTAGTAATGTTTTAAGAGTCTGTTTTGATTAGGAAATGAATCCAGTTTGATCTTAGATTTGACCGATTGACTTTCCTAATCTTAAGGAGTCTTTTTAGGAAGAGTTTTATTATTTTTATTTTCAGTAAAACTTGAGTCATAGTAGGAGTCTTGTTTCTTTTCTATTTAATCAGAATCTTGTAAGCCCTAGAGGAATAATTTTTGATTAATAAAATTTATCTTTTTGATATTTTCTTTGTGGATTCGAAGATTGTTCTTTAAGGATTCAGAGAACGCTCTTGGTGGATTCCGAGACTATCACTTCCGCGCTACGTCAAATTCATAAGTATAACATACCAAACTATTCAAGATAAGTATAGATTATTAAATTCTTTTTTACCAATTAATTCTATAATTTTTTATTCTCAGCATGATTATTTCAAGCACAAAGAAAGTAATTCATAAATCATAGAAGAAATCAAACTAGTTTTATATAATCTTAGAATTTCTATAAGATTTAGTTGCACATTATAGAAAATAAAAATAAAAAAATAAAATCTAGACTAGAGAGAATAAAATAAGGAGATTTAAAATAATAATTAACTATAAAAATAAGAACAAAAATAAAGAATTAGAGATCTAAATTATGAGTATAAAGGAAATCTGACTAAAAAAAGGGAAAAAGCATAAAGTAAATCGATAGCACAAAAAATACAAGAAATAAATTATGTGAGGCATAAAAATAAATAACAAAATAAAAAAGCATCAAAGTACATCTACACTACAACGTATGAAATAAATCTAATCTACTAATATAAAAAGAAAAAAAATCATAAAAGATGAATTTCTAAAATAAGAAAATAAGAGAGAAAAATAAAAACTTACATTGCAAGGAGTTGGTCTCTTGAAAGTAAATCTGCATCTCCATCAATAAAGAAGAAGAAATGAAAATTAAAAAAGGAGAATTCTTTTAATCTATAGCAAACTTAAAAGTTTATAAAATGGAAGACCTCATTAAATGTTATCCTCTCCAAAAATAAGTTTATAAAAACAATTTCTCCTCAAACCCCTTATCCTTTACCCCTATTTACATTCCACAATAATCAACAAGAGCTTTTAGGTTAGCCTTGGGCTCAAAAAAAAAAAAAAATCAAGGCTGTTTACTATTTCTATTATGTACCAATCAGTTAGTCAATCATTACCGATTTGCCAATCGATTGGTGAACCGATTAGTGCCTAACAAAATAAATTTTAGATGACTTTTGTTAACTCGATTTTTTCTTAATTCATTGGGCTTTTGTGGGCCTCCTTTTGACTTGACATTGGGCTTCTATAAGTGGTAGAAAAATGGGAGAATTTGATTCTTTTGAGCTTTTATTTATCAATTCTTTTGTTGCTATATATATATATATACAAATAAAATAGATAATGAGGGTTTGAACATATAATAAGATGTGATGATCAACTCGTCAGAGGTAGAGAACTGTACTCATAGTATTAATGCGATAGCAACAGAATGACGGGAATATTGTGGGTGCCGCTGCCGAAGAACCATCATGATATTTGGCCATGTATTATGATGGTGACCTAGGTGGCGGAGCTTGGGCATTAAACTTTTCACCATTAAATACAAACATTGTTGATGGTGACCTAGCTGGCGGAGCTTGGGCTTGTAATCACATAGACGAGGAGACTAAGCTGACAGGTCAATTTTGTTTTGATCATATGTTCGGTCCCGTCACTTATGTCACGTGTATATCTTAATGACGAAATAATTTTCAAGGTATAATAGGTGGAATTCCATATATGACGAACATCTTGTTGAATTTTTTTTAGCACTCATAATTTTTTTCTTCTACAAAGTTGTTTCTATTTTTAAGTCTTTTTAGAAGCATTAAGAACTAAGCATGTTGCAATAGTATGACCAATATTATATTCGGATATTTTTAATATGAATTCAGATATTTCACTATTGACTATAGATTTTAGTAAATATATCTGCAAAATTAACTGTTGTTCAAATTTTTACATCTGTATATGCAAATTATTTTTTTAGTGTTGCTAAAAGACATTTCGACGAAGCAAAACACTTATTGCGTAGCTTGAAATTTCAATCACAACAAACAAATTATTACAAGCAAATATAATAAGTCTTAGATTAAAGTTGGAGAACGGAAGTATCAAACGTGACAGAAAACGGAAGCACAAGCCACGAAGATCAAAGTCCACGCAGGTTCTCCCCCACGAACCTCTTGATAATGGCGACGAGCTCATCCACCGCCGGCGACAGAGAATCCAGCGAAAGAAACCCGTGCTCCGCCCCTTCAATCTCCACAACCTCCACTTTCTTCCCAAACTCCCTCAGCCTCTTCCCGTACTCCACGCCTCGATCCCTCAACAGATCTCTTTCAGCCACCACCACCACCATGGGCCCCACCTCCACCTCCTCCCACCGTGGGCCCCCGGGACCGAATGGGTTCGCCAACGGGTCGTCCCTCGTGGACCCGACCGGCAACGCCATCCGCCAGCACTGATCGGACCCCTCAAGGGTCAGGGACGCCGACGCGTCGGCGTGAGAACAGGCCTCGGACTCTGTGCGCTCAGCACCGCCGAAGAACGGCTGCAGCAGGATGTAGCCGTTGATTCTGGTGGGGCCCATCTTTAGGGCGAGGTGGTGGGCTATGCCGCCGCCAGCAGACTCGCCAGAGATGAAGATGTTATTAAAGTCGGCGTCGGCGAGGAAGGGGTCGGCTTCGGGTCGGAGCCAGTTGACCGCGGTTACCTGCCGCATCAAGAAAATTACAAGAGGAATAGCTAAAGATTAATACTGTAAACTTTTCATCATCTCTGTTATAAAGAAACGAAAATATAGTCAAATCTACATCATCAATCTTAACTATATATTAAAGAAAATTATAAGAAAAATAATCACTGAATAATCAATCCTAAAAATTACACTAGTCTCTCAAAGGAAGTCCAGATATTATAGTTTGGTGATTGCAAAATGATCTCATGCATAAAATAAACGAAACCTATTTACATGAAATTTCAATCTTTTTTAATTAACAAAAAAATTTCAGCATAACGGAGGACTCGTTACCGCGTCGTCGATGGCAGCGGGCAGCCGGTGCTCAGGCGCGAGGCGGTAGTCCGGCGCGACAACAAGGACGTTGAGGTCGGCGGCGAGGCGGAGGCAGGCGTTATGGAACAGGGCCCACGGAAACAGCCCAATACAATACCCGCCTCCGTGGAAGTAGAAGAGGACGGGGAGCCTGCCCCGGTGGGGCCCGCGGGGCTTGTAGAGCCGGAGGTTGAGGCCGTGGGTGGCGTCGAACTGGGTGTCTTTGAAGACGATGTTTGGGTAGTGACCGTCGAGGGCGGCGGCGGGGAATCGGGACAGCGGGGCTGAGGAGCGGAGGGTGGTGCCGTCGGAGAGGAGTTGGAGGAAGCCGCCGAGGTCCTCGATCACGTGAGGGGCGTGCGAGGGGGAGGACGTCATGGTTGGCGCTCGGATTTGGGTCGTGGGATTGATTTTTTGACCGGTTTGGGAAGGATAATGGAGCTCTTTATGGAAGGTAACGGGCAGTTAAGGTGTTGACCGCACGTGCGTTTTGACGCAAGGAGTGACGCAAATCTAATTGTTGTTGTCTGCCATGATGAAACTATAGGTGAGTACCGGAACTCGTCTGATAATTTTGACAGATATTTTGTTTGTTAAAAAACCGGATCAAAGTTAGCCGGCAAGATAGTGACTTATTCAACCTTTGTTTGGTTAGGTTCTAAAGAGATCTATGCTCGAGCTGCTAGATTGCAGGAAAGAAAGAAGAAAGAGAGATGCGGAGAGAAGTCAAGTTGCTCAAGTTGCTGAAGCTGAAGACATGACTTCTGTGGTTATAGTGTGATTCAGTTGGAATGAAGAATTCACAATAAAATTTTTGTGCCCGCTGTTTGTTTGGAAAAACAATGTTAGCTTTTAAAAATCATTTTTACTTGTTCGGGGGTAATTTCAGTGATATGTACAAGGGTGATGTTGTTCTTGGTATGTAGTTTTGATTTGAACTTTAGTGCATACTCTTGGTTGGGAGTATGCTCTATATTTGTAACAACCGGTTTTTGTTAATTTAGCTGGCTGGAAAATCTTGACGATATTCCATCCTTTTTCTCAAAAAAAAAAAAAAGTTGGCTGCTAAGAAATTCTCACTGAACTCCTTTTAGCTTGGATCATCATTTTTAAGTAGTCCAAAGTAAAACTAGTTTAGGATGAATTTGGGTCAGGATTACTCTTGGCCCAATTTTTGATTGATTGTCAAACGCACCTGAGATTTAATTAGGATTAAAAATTTATATATTCTCGTCAAGTCATGGGTATTTTTTAAATTTATCGACCAAATTATTATATTTCTAAATTTGCCTCTTTAATTGTTTTCTTTCATGAAGCTTACACTTGGGCTTCACCTCCGTTAAAATTTTAGCACTTTTAAGGTTAAACTGTTGGATATTTTGTTGGAGAAAAGGCAATTTTGCCTTAATGAATACTAATAAATTTTGTAATTAAAATGGATATTTTGTTGGAGAAAAGGCAATTTTGCCTTAATGAATACTAATAAATTTTGTAATTAAAATATGTTTTAATTAGAAATTAAAATAAGGCAATTTTGCCTTAATGAATACTAATAAATTTTGTAATTAAAATATGTTTTAATTAGAAATTAAAATAAGCATAATGGCTATACATTATGACGAACGTTACGGAATTAATTACGAGTTTTGTAACGTCTTTTCCAACCCTATATATATATCTGTATGTTGAGCTCAAAATCATAAGAAAAATAGTTTCTCTTGTTTTTCCTTCTCTCCCCTACATATTACTTCCATCTATATATTCATTTTATTTTATAGGCAACTTTCTTTATCTGAGCTGAAGCTCTACATTCTTGCCCGAGTGCAGAGACCGGCCGTTTCTAGGGGCTTTTACCGCTAAGGGGGAGGGAACCATCTGCGTCAGGGCGATAGACAGGTTCTCAATCTTCTAGGGCAGTGATTACACGACTGCTCCCGTCAGGCCTGATTTTTCTTATCTCTCATTTATTTTGATTTCGAATTTATTTCATGCTATAATCTTAATTATTTAATTTAATTTTCAACAATTTAGAAGATTGAGAATATAGATGTTGATTTATTAAATCCAAAATAAGTTTATCTATAATTAATTGCTTTTAATTATTGTTGAATAATTTCTGTTAATTCGAAAAAATAAAAGTTATTGTTCATCAAAAGTACTATTCACCCGAATTTTATATTTGTTGTTCATTCTAAAATAGTTACTGCTAATTACTTTGTTTATATGTTTATCTATTAATTTTATTAATTTGTTGTTTAAAAAAAACTGCTGTTCATCGGATAAACAATTACTGTTCATTAAAGAGAAAAAAAATTCTCTTTTCTGGAAATTATAATTTGTTACTGTTCATTCGAGACAATTACTGTTTATCCGAATTAAAAAATTTAAAATAAAATATTTTGCTGTTACTATTCTAAATTGTTCATCAGAAAAAAGCAATTTTTGCTACTAAATTGCTTATCTATTAATTAACTTTTTGTTAAAATAAAAAAAATGTTTTTGTTACTGTTCAAAAAAAAAGAGGGAATTTTATAGTTGTTGTTAACACAAAGAAAATATAATTGCTGTAATTATATATTTTTTATCTATTAGTATTATTGATTTGTTGTTATAAAGTTTGAAAAAAAATGTAACTGTTACTGTTCATTCCAAAAATAAAACGTTTAATGTTCATTTATTAGAAATGTACTGTTCATTTATTTTTAAAAAATGTTACTGTTCATTTAAACAGCTTTGGTTATCATTTAAAAAAAATTGTAATTAAATATTTCTATTAAATTTAATTAATTGTTGTTAATTAAGTCGTAATTAATTACTACTAATTAATTCTAACAGTTATTTACAATTAATTGTAATTAATTGTTTTATTGATTTTATTACCTTAATTGTTGTTTAAGATGTTGCAAGTGGGCTCTTTGCCTTCCAGTACCTCAAGAGTCTGAAGTTCAAGCTCTTCCACAAATTAAATCGTTCTTAGCCTTGCTGTTCTAAGCTTGCTGGGGCGGGCCAGAGTCGTTCTCACAGACCCCTCAAAACAAATTTTTACTCTCACGACATGTAAATCATGAGGTTCGAACATTAATAGGTAAACCCCTCCTCGGCCTTATCCAACATATGTTTGCAGTATAATTTTTAGGCAAATTAAATGCTTGCAGGAAATATTTTAAAGTTTCTACATACTGTTAGGGAACAAAAACTCATTGAGCGAACCGATTCAAGTTTTCTTGGATTAGTTAGTGTCTAATGCAAGGTTTAGAGATTGCGTAACGCGCTCTGCAAGGAACGAGGTCCTTCTTGGATTAGTTAGTGTTGCTAAAAGACATTTCGATGAAGCAAAACACTTATTGCGTAGCTTGAAATTTCAATCACGACAAACGAATTATTACAAGCAAATATAATAAGTCTTAGATTAAAGTTGGAGAACGGAAGTATCAAACGTGACAGAAAACGGAAGCACAAGCTACGAAGATCAAAGTCCACGCAGGTTCTCCCCCACGAACCTCTTGATAATGGCGACGAGCTCATCCACCGCCGGCGACAGAGAATCCAGCGAGAGAAACCCGTGCTCCGCCCCTTCAATCTCCACAACCTCCACTTTCTTCCCAAGCTCCCTCAGCCTCTTCCCGTACTCCACGCCTCGATCCCTCAACAGATCTCTTTCAGCCACCACCACCACCATGGGCCCCACCTCCACCTCCTCCCACCGTGGGCCCCCGGGACCGAATGGGTTCGCCAACGGGTCGTCCCTCGTGGACCCGACCGGCAACGCCATCCGCCAGCACTGATCGGACCCCTCAAGGGTCAGGGACGCCGACGCGTCGGCGTGAGAACAGGCCTCGGACTCTGTGCGCTCAGCACCGCCGAAGAACGGCTGCAGCAGGATGTAGCCGTTGATTCTGGTGGGGCCCATCTTTAGGGCGAGGTGGTGGGCTATGCCGCCGCCAGCAGACTCGCCAGAGATGAAGATGTTATTAAAGTCGGCGTCGGCGAGGAAGGGGTCGGCTTCGGGTCGGAGCCAGTTGACCGCGGTTACCTGCCGCATCAAGAAAATTACAAGAGGAATAGCTAAAGATTAATACTGTAAACTTTTCATCATCTCTGTTATAAAGAAACGAAAATATAGTCAAATCTACATCATCAATCTTAACTATATATTAAAGAAAATTATAAGAAAAATAATCACTGAATAATCAATCCTAAAAATTACACTAGTCTCTCAAAGGAAGTCCAGATATTATAGTTTGGTGATTGCAAAATGATCTCATGCATAAAATAAACGAAACCTATTTACATGAAATTTCAATCTTTTTTAATTAACAAAAAAATTTCAGCATAACGGAGGACTCGGGCCCGCGGGGCTTGTAGAGCCGGAGGTTGAGGCCGTGGGTGGCGTCGAACTGGGTGTCTTTGAAGACGATGTTTGGGTAGTGACCGTCGAGGGCGGCGGCGGGGAATCGGGACAGCGGGGCTGAGGAGCGGAGGGTGGTGCCGTCGGAGAGGAGTTGGAGGAAGCCGCCGAGGTCCTCGATCACGTGAGGGGCGTGCGAGGGGGAGGACGTCATGGTTGGCGCTCGGATTTGGGTCGTGGGATTGATTTTTTGACCGGTTTGGGAAGGATAATGGAGCTCTTTATGGAAGGTAACGGGCAGTTAAGGTGTTGACCGCACGTGCGTTTTGACGCAAGGAGTGACGCAAATCTAATTGTTGTTGTCTGCCATGATGAAACTATAGGTGAGTACCGGAACTCGTCTGATAATTTTGACAGATATTTTGTTTGTTAAAAAACCGGATCAAAGTTAGCCGGCAAGATAGTGACTTATTCAACCTTTTGGTTAGATTCTAAAGGGATCTCTGATCGAGCTGGTAGATTGCAGGAAAGAAGAAGAAAGAGGACTGCGAAGAGAAGTCAAGTTGCTCAAGTTGCTGAAGCTGAAGACATGACTTCTGTGGTTATAGTATGATTCAGTTGGAATGAAGAATTCACAAAGAAATTTTTGTGCCCGCTGTTTGTCTGGAAAAACAGTTTTAGCTTTTAAAAGTCCTTTTTACTTGTTCGGGGGTAATTTCAATGATATGTATAGGGGTGATGTTGTCATGGGTATTTTTTAAATTTATCGACCAAATTATTATATTTCTAAATTTGCCTCTTTAATTGTTTTCTTTCATGAAGCTTACACTTGGACTTCACCTCTTCACCTCCGTTAAAATTTTAGCACTTTTTAAGGTTAAGCCACCTCAATATCCCTATTACTATGAATTTTCTAAAAGAAATCAGCAAAATAAAATTTGTTATAATTTTAAAATACAATCAATTAGAAACTCACAAAGTTTGACGTGCTACTAAAAGAAGTCAGATCGAGAGTTGGCATCTTCTACTCTTTTCGCCAAAAAAAAAAAACTCTCGCATCCCTCTTTTGCCTACAAGACGTCGCCGACGAAGCACCTCATTCGGTCCTCAGAGCAACGATAACTCGAGGGGAAAAGAAAATTATGGCATATAATTAATTAAGCATATTCAATATGCGGTATTTTGCCAGATTTTGTGTTTGAAAAGGGTTCTTGCAAGTATCAGATAACCTCGGGGTGAAATTATGGTTTGCATCGCTCAACTCTAAAAAGGTATGCAGGAGATGGAAACAACTCCTTGTAAAATGATATCTATTAATCCTCAGCCTGCAGCATGATTCATAATTAACCCGTTAATCTTATAAGTTAAGAAGGAAGATCATTTTGTATATGTTTAGGCAAAGATCCATATTGGAAGACGGAAACAACGACAAACGCTAACCTGAGAAGCAGAATATTTAGGGGATCTGATCTTTATAACAAGTTGAATCTTAGATTTTCATACAGCGGATCAGGTTTTAAATTTATAATAATTTTTTTTTTATTTTTCTAAAATCTGAAGAATTCCTACGCTGCAAGTGTATGACATGTGAGCCCCACACTGATGTGACTAGTAGGGGGGCTCACATGTCATACACTTGCAGCGTAGGAAATTTCCTATATATATATATATATTTGATGTAAAAATAGGGCAAAGTGCCCTATCATAGATAAGTATATAAGTGCAAAAGAGAAAGTATTACAAAAGTAGATATCTACTGGTGATTAGAACAACACCTCCATGATGGAGTAAAAAAAAACCAATCACTAATAGATGTCTAGAAGATATATACAAATACTAACACGATGTTATAAATAGCTAAAAACCAAAAGAATCAAAAGAACTAGGAACCGAACCGCAGCTCAAGGATTCTCGTTGCTATCCTCGCTTGGGGGTAAATTTTTTTAATAATAATTTAGGGGGCAAATTTAAAGTACCCATGATTGAAAGGTATATGTTGAAAAATGCATTTAGAAGGGGATTTTGCTTTTAGACCCATTTGTTTACTCCCATTTATCTTTAAACCAAGTACTATTATTTCTATCTTTAAGCCAAATTCACATTTTGTATTTATCTTTAAACCCAATCTCCAAAATATAAAAACAAGTGGTGAAAATATAGTATTTTAAAGATTGGGTTTAAAGATAAATACAAAAGGTGAATTGGGCTTAAAGATACAAATAATAGTACTTGGGTTTAAAGATAAATGGGAGTAAACAAATGGGTCTTTGTACACTTCTCTTACCTATTTGGCATTTTCCCCACCTTGCCTCTGCTGACATTGCCAAATGTGCAATTAGACTAAAAAGTTCACTGGCAGTGAAAAGAATATTGGGATGGCATGAGACGTTATTAGTGCTATCTGTTCATGTGGAAAGTTTTAAAAAATTATTTGGCACATTGGTCTCTATACTAGTATATATAAAACAAATTGTGAGAGTATGCAAATGTGAATGAATGGAAGAAAATTTCTTACTCCATAGTTTTGATTTTAGGGAATTCTTTTTCAGCTTTAGGACGAAGTGGTAAATTTGAATGAATATACAGTTTGTACAATTTCTCCCCAATATTAAATGCTCTCTCTCTCTCTCTCTAAATAAATAAATAAATAAAACCTCTTTTTATAATCAAATGTAAAAAATATTGATTTTTGCAACCAAATTATAAATAAGACCTCCAATATTATAGATTGTATAATAAAAATTATGTATTTAAAACGCAAAATACTAGACGGAATATCAACCTAGACGGATATCAACCTAGACGGAATTAAGATAACCGTCTAGGCTGCAAACTAGACGGGATTCCGTCTAGGTTAGCAACCTAGACGGCATTCCGTCTAGGTTGATATTATAGCGGCATTCCGTCTAGGTTGCTACTGTTGCTACAATATCAACCTAGACGGAATTTCCGTCTAGGTTGCAATTCCGTCTAGGTTGCTCCGCGAAAGTTTTTTATATAAAGTTCACTAACCTCTTGGAAGAAGCTTTTTATTCCATCCTCATTACGCAGATCATGAAGCAGCATCAATCTAGTGTGTATGGCATGGTAGGTCAAAGAAAACAAAAGACTGCTGAAACTATATAGGCAAAATTTTGTTAGCTCATTCAAAGCGCACTTAATAAGCACCACTGTAAGGAAAATAAGCAAAAATATACATTTGAATTTTTCATAATAAAATGACTAATTAAAATAATAGTAGTAAATGAAAAAAATCTCAGACACTGACTGTACACAGATTTTTTCCACATAATCAAAGTAAATATAAAAGAAATTCCATGCAGACGATCAGTCAAGGAACAGAAAGTATACTTTAAATGCAGACCCCAGTTCAGCTTCATAAATAGGAATATCATTCTTACTGACAATGACAAAGCATGCAGTACTCGCCATTAATTTTCTGAAAATAAATTGAAATATGGAGTTATAAGCAGTGGAATGCACAAAGGACATATACAAATGATAGAGCAAGCATTTTCACATAGCTCTTCTGTTAGAGTTATAAAGTTAAAGACTCATGAAGAAACATCATACTAGTCGCATCTTTGCGTTCAAGTATCACATAACATATTCTACTATTAAATGAACTAATGGTAAGAAGCTTTAAAAGATATTTATAAATACTACACCAAAATGTAGCAAGAGTGCAGATTAATCATTTTTCTTTTTTTTTGTTTTTTTAAGTTTTCCTTCTTTCGTGACAATTTTGGATGTGGTGCAGATGTAAGCGCGAGAATTAGGCAGGACAAATCATATTACCAACTCGGTCAGTTTTATAATCAAACAGAAGCCATTGTGATTTTCAAACTCTCACTGAGATTCCAATTCAGAATTCAAAATAAATTTGAACTATGGTCTCACAGACATTTTTTATACAAGAAAAATACATTTCTAATGTATACAGTTAGCCTAAAACGACTTATCCTTTGCTTTGGTATTTAAGTCAATGGACGGCCATTCATTGGTTTGAATTTCAAACCATCATGCATTTCCCAAATTTGTCTTAGTTTCATGTCCTGTGATTTTGTATCTCAAATGGATTATTATTAGATTTAGAATACCATTGCTAACAACATAATATACTGCAAACCAAAAAGCAACATTAACCATCGCGTGCAACATAAATATAAATGATACTAAATACTTGAAGAAGAACACATTCCGTTAAGTCTCCTAACATACTAATACAAAGCTAATGCAAGTTTTTAAAGCAGTTACAAAAGTTAAGGATTTGGTTTCAGAACTCGAAGATGCAACAACAAAGATGCTAGGAGATACTCTCAATCCCTTTCATAAAAAAAAAGTAATCGAATTTAACATAAAGTTGGTTATCGGATACAAATTATTAAGATGCTTTAGCTTCTCACAACATTTTGCTCTAAATTAAACTATAGGTTAATTAGCATGCTTTTCAAGCTCGCAATCTTTGATTCCGATTTTTCTTTGGTTAACTAAGTTTAAAACCTAATCCTTTTGATCTTTTTCTCTAAAATTAACGAAAAGGAAACTGGATGAAAAGCACTATGATCAGAAGCTTATTCTCAAATTAACGAGGTGATTTTGTCTGGGAATCAAGACACACGCCTGCCTATATTCAAATTTTGTGCCCGAGATTGTTGTCTGCCATTGGATTAGATCCTTTTTATTTCAGTGGATAAGAGAAAATCTATTTCTTCAATCATAACTGTCAATCATTTATCATACAATTATGGTTGAGAAAAAATACGTGTTAATTCAGTGAAGATATGATGACTATCATAACTGAAATAATTCTGAACAAATTACAAGCAAAATCACCCAAGATCAAAACTTTAAAGTAAATAACTGATCTTTACCTGGAAAAACCACCCAAAATCACGCAAAATCGCGGAGGAAGGGGACGGTGTCGATGACGTCGTCGTAGGCGGCGGGGAGGCGGTGCTCGTGGGCGAGGCGGTAGGCGACGGAGGCTGGATGCGGCGGCGGAAGGAGAAGGTGACGGAATCCGGAGGCGGGCAGAGAGGAAGAGCCGCCGTCGTGGAAGTAGAGGAGACGGGACTAGGGGCTAAGCAGGCATCTGGGTTAGGATTTGTGGAGGTAGAGGGCCGGAGGGGTGTTGCGGGCTGGTTGAGGAGGGATATCCTGAGGGACGGGGCGGCAGGAGGTGAGGTGGAGGGGGGGGAGGGGGGATGAGGGGTTGGGGGTTTGGTGAGAGAGAGATTGGGGGTTGTGGTGGTGGGGGGTGGTGTGTGTTGGGAGGTGGCGTGGGGTTGGGTGGGGTGGGAGGGGTTGAGTGTGCTGTTTGTTTGACTAAAAAAAGAGGGAAATCAAAGAAAATGAAACCTATTTCTAAGAAAAATAGGTTTTGGGATTGTTTCGTTGGCTAAAAAAAAGAAGGAAATCAAAGAAATGGAGATGAGATGAGATGAGGAAATCAAAGAAATTGAGATGAGATGAGATGAGTTGTCACCTTAGGGGCTGTTTGGTTACACACTTTTTAAGAAAACTTTTCTCAAAACATCTGACAATGACAAATTTGTAATTAAAAGTTTTTCAGAGATTTCTGTAAATTGTGTTTGGTTCAACAAAAAATTTACAGAAATATTTTCTATAAAATGTCAAAACCTACCAAATTTTACAAAAAACAATTTCCTCTCAAAATGAGAGTAAATCACCAGAAATCTGACACATACCATATTTAATTAAAAACCTACCAAATCTTGTTATTTGCTATAAAGTTATGAGCAATTTTCTTGTTTTGAACCAAACAAGCAAAGTACAAAAAATAAGAAAATTGGTACTTTTTAATTTCTCAAAACTTTTCCTATAATTTTTTTAAGAAATACAAGAAAATCATATTTTAGGTGGAAAATATTTCCTATAATTTCTAGAAATTGAACCAAACACCCCCTTATTATAGGATGATGTGAGTGAATTTTTTAAGAAAACTATGCCCAAACTTATACAAAAATATGGAGTCAAATACAAAAAAGTAAATCTTAGTACAAGAAAAATGACGACATGGTATTACCTCCAACTATAGTGAAGATAAAGCTTGAGAGGCCAAAAACTACTAGGAGGAAAAATGTTTCGCAGCTTTTTTTCTTTTGCGTCTACGAAGTTATGGGTCTAATTAACATTTGGCTCAGAAAAAATATCAAAACATTATCGGAACTAGAAAAAAAAAACCAAATTGGTAAGAGATGTGTACGGAAAATAACAATCTGGTAATTTAACCTTTAATTATCTATTGTTTTTAATTATTTAAGTTACATTAATCTAGGACTAGAAATGAATCGAATACCAATGCTCATATTTGCATTTGGTTAAAATCTTTGAATCCGAATATGAGTTTGAATATCGTTCTTTAAATTCCTTCGAATTTGAATACAAATATGTTTTGAATATTCACGATATTTATCAAATATTTTATGATTTTTTATTTGAAAATTAACTCATAGTTTATGAACATTAAATTATGTAATTGAAAAGATATTTGGTTAAAAAAGTGACAGATGACTCACGGTTTGTCAAAATTATTATAGAGCTTAAATTGCAAAGTGTAAATGAGACAAAATATAACATCACACAGGTAATAATGCAAATACTAAGCAATAAAATTTTAAATAAATATTTAATAATCAAACAAATTAAATATCCATTTGTTTATATTCTATTTTTTTTATGAATTGAATAATAAAAGCTATTTTGGCTAATGTTAAATAGATTATAGAATTGAATATAACAAGATAGCTAAACAAATATCTCTTTCATTATCGAGATAGTTCTCAATAACTACAATAGCGTTTGTAGTCCAACGGTTAGGATAATTGCCTTCCAAGCAATAGACCCGGGTTCGACTCCCGGCAAACGCAACATGAAGTTTTGTTTTTTTTTAAGCCTTTTTGCTCTTCTCCTTATTTATCTAATTGTGTCTAAATAAGGAGGTATTTGGCTGTTTAGATAAATGTTGGGTATATTTGACACCAAATGGAAGGTGTTCATCCACGCCATAACTTTCTAATTGGGTATTTACATTATTTGTTTTGAATTTTATTATGAATCCTAAAATGGTGGTTTTACCTTGTTTGGATTGTATCATGTGATCCTATAAATTGATAGTTATGGGGACCCCATCTAAAAGGTTAATACTACCAAGAGTAAAATTTCCTCCATTAAACACAAAAGAAAAAAAAAATCCAATAAACACTATTTATCTCACAACTAGCCTATAAAGCAAGAAATTAATTGCATAACCAACTAATATTAAAGCAAGAAATTAATTGCATAACCAACTAATATTAAAGCAAGAAATTAGTAAGCACAACCATGTAATATTTTGGTATTTCAAGCCAAAAAAATAATGTTTTACCTTTACAATTATCGATGCTTTTATTTTCCTATGCTTCTCTGTTAAAATTAATATATAAATAAAACAAACAAGAAAAAAAATAACATTTAAAGAAAGGATTAGCGGCGCAGCTTGTTGCCCGCTTGTCATCATCACATGTGTAATTGTTTATCGCATTAATATTATTTTCAATAAACTAAAAAAACAACATTTAAAGAAAGAAAAAACAAGAAAAACTTATCCTATAGGAAATATTTGCATCACTTTATATTAACATGAATTTTATAATAAATCACGATTTATCAAAATATACACTTTTAAATGACACTTTTTTCTCGGGTTTTCAAATTTAAATGGCGTTTAGAGTTAGCTTAGAATTAAAAAAAAAAAGGTAACTATAAGGTTTTACCATTAGCTTTGTAAGTTGTTTTTGTTTTTGTTTCACTCCAAAACTAAGTGATTTCACTTTACTGGTCATCTCAACAGAACTTGTCAGGTTTCACAATACTTGCCTGCTTCTTAACTTGAAATCAAGCCGTGTAATTTTAGTAAAGTTACACATGGGCCCCTTTTTTGGCACCTTTCCATCATTTTACTTGATTTATTTTGCAATCAAACAGTGCTTGAGAAAACAATAGGAACATGACTTTGTTGTGCTCCAGAGTAAAGTAAGTGACCCTTTATTAAAGCTGTTCAACATTTAATTTGACAGTTTAACTTTAAGGGCCTATTTGGATTCGTAGGGGGTGAAGGGAAGTTAAGGGAAACTGAGTGAAGGGAATGGAAGGGAAGAGAAGGGAAGGGAAGGGAATTCTCTTCCCCTTGGTTACACCCCAATTTGGGGGTAATAATTTTTATACTATTAGGGGGTGAACCAAGGTGAATGGAGGTGAATTAACTTCACCTCCTAAGTGTTCCCAAACAAGGTGAATGGAGGTGAATTGTTCCCCTAACTTCCCTTCACCCTCATTCCCCTCAATCCAAACAAGCCCTAAGGGAACTCAAAGTTCTTATTAGTAGGGCTGTTCAATTGGTCATGTGGCCCGGACTTGGCCCGATGTCCGACCCAGAGAGAGCCAGGCATGTGCATCGCTTGAACCCGGGAAAAGCCCGAAAAACCAGGCCAGAGCGAGATCTAGGAATTGGGCTAGGTTGGTTTGGCAAAGCCCAACCTAGGCTCGTCCTGGCGCGGGCTTCACAGTGTCGGGCTAAAGAACCTAAGTCTGGGTTCAAGCTGATCCGGACCCAGACCAAACTAGGGAGCTGGTAACGGCTCCCTATTTAGATGCTGGACCGGGCCAGGCTCCCAGAGCTCGGTCTGGCCCAGAATTGGACCTGGTTCAACAACTAAAAAATAGCCATTGTATCGGGTTCAGCCTAGACCCAGCCCAGTTCGGGCACAATAAATAGCCTACTATGGCTATTTTTTTATCAAAAGACCAAAATATCCTTAAAAACGTTCAAAACGGTCAAAACCACTAAATTTTAAGGATATTTTGGTAATAAGGCTAGGAGGCTGCCTCTATGGATAGAGGAGTTTTCAGTTATTTTTCTCATCCAAAACTCATCTACTTCTCTCACTCATACTCTCGTATTCTCTCTAATATAGTATTATAATCTCTTATACTTTCTAATACTCTCTAGTTCTCTAATTTCATTGACTTCTTCCTCCGATCATGGATGGAAAAATCCAACTCCTAAAATGAGTCCAATAGCTGCTCCTCCTACTATAGATATTGATCCTAAATTCGGTGATGATGATCCAATAGCTAGAGCTCCTAAAAGGCTGAGATCCAAAGTGTGAGTTTTCTTTGAGAAGATAGAAGTCACTAGAGATCAATATGATAAATTTCTCATCCAAAAGGCCAAATGTGAGTTATACAGCCATATCTTTGGAGCTCATCATAACAGCGGCATTGACCATCTCAAACGTCATTTAAAAAATACAATATAGTGTGAGCAACGTCTCAAGATGACGTCGACCAATCTCTACTCTCTCAATCATCTTCCTCTAGATCATAAAATACTGACTTGAAAGTAGGATCATAAAATTTGTAACCCCTTAGATCTCTCGGAGTAACCAATAAAGTAGCAGCTGACCGTCCTAGAGTCCAGTTTGTTTTCATGTGACCTATAAGGCATAGCCTCAATTGGACATCCCTAAAAGTGTAAATGCTTTAGACTAGGCTTTTGCCCGTCCAAAGTTCATAAGGGGTTTTGGCAGTCGCTTTTGTGGGTACTCTATTGAGTATGTAAGCTGTAGTCTTTAATACTTCTCCCTAGAGAGATTCTGATAAGTTGGAATGACTAATCATACTTCTTATCATGTCCTTAAATGTCTTGTTTAGTCTTTCGACAATACTATTTATGGTAGGAGAACCAAGCATGTTGTACTGTGGGACAATACCGCGTTCCTCTAGGAATTTAGCAAATGGTCCCAAACGTTGTTCACCTGAACCGTCATACCGTAATACTCACCACCATAGTCAGATCTGATGCTTTTGATACTTTTGTCGAGTTGATTCTCAACTTCAGCTTTGTAAGCTTTGAACACGTCCAGTGATTGAGAATTTTCATGTATGAGATAAAGATAGACATAACGCGAAAAATCGTCTATAAACGTGATAAAATATTATTGACCATTCCAAGAAACGAAGTTCCTGCTATTTTATCTTTATGTTCTTGCAAGCATCAAGTTCTCCATCAAGCATTTGCTAGCAATGTGGCAAGAATGACAAAGTCAGATGAAAATTGAGAAATTTTGGTTTGAATGAGATCATATTTCATTTTTAAACCCAAAATTTTATTTTAGATTAGAGGCACTAACAATGCATCTCTCTTTAATTCTTTGAGGTTTAGGCTTCTCATTTGAGGTTTAGAAAGAGTTCAATGACAGAGTCAAAAGGATTTATTGGGTGAATATTGGAAAATGTTTTAATCTTAATGATTACAAGTAAAAATAAACCGTTTTTAGTACTTTAAGAACTGATGTTAGTAATTTTTGATATTTAATTTTTTTCATTTTGATGCAATTATAACTCAAAAGAATATGATCAAAGACTATATTATGATTAGGAAAGAGTAAAAAACTTCAAATCAGGTCAATTACTTCCAAAAAATTACTTAAGAATTAGCGAAAGATGACTAATGTGGAACTACGTCACATTGACTGAAGATTTGGCGGTACATGAGGTTTGGCTGTGGACAATTAGATCAATTTCTAAAGAGAGGAGAAACAACTTCCTTTTTATCTTTGCTTTTGACTTTTGAGCAAGATTCACTCTTCTTGGTTCTTGCTTTCCTATTGCCATACATGTTGAAACTATTTGCCACAATATGACTAAGCTTTTAATTGGAGAACATGTTGAAGTAAGCTCCTGAATCTCCTTTTTTGATTAATTATATATGCATGTGTTTATTTGGAAGTAATTTCAATGATTTGAAAGATTGATTTCAAAATAATTTTCAAATATTACTCATTGTTTAGGCTTTTAAGGGGCACAATTATTTTAGCGAGTTACTTTCTTTAAGATGTACTGTAGACTTTGAAGGTATGTTATCCATATTATTAATGAAATATGAAAAGTTCTATTATTTTGTCTCTCTTTGAATATATTGTAGTATGCTCCTCCTTTATTTATAAATGTGAATTTGGTTCTCTATATTTTCTTACAAAGGCATTTAATTTGAATTTTCTATAAACACGACACCTAATCATAAATTTGTTTTACAGGCACATGAATTCATGACATTTGGCCTTTGTGTGATGAACGAGCAAGGAAGAAGTCAAAAGTCTGAAAACTCCTACAAGTGACAAAATAGTTGTGTGAATACTTAATTTATTTCTCTACATTAAATCTATCAAACATTCTCTCTTTCTCGAGAATTTGTTCCTTTAGGTGAATTTGCATGAGCTTAAACTGATGACTATTGATGTGATTTTATAGAAGCAACAAGTTTCATGTCTATGTCATACTATTTTTTTGCACCTGATATGTGTAGATCCTTGGTCATATTAGAAGATAGTTTATGTTATTTTCACTTTATTTGTTGATTGTTCCATTTATGTTATTTTCTGAGATGATAAATTTTCTCATGATCTATTTGATGGTTAAGTATACATGAATACGTCAATCCTTGGTCATATTAGAAGATAGTTTATGTTATTTTCACTTTATTTGTTGATTGTTCCATTTATGTTATTTTCTGAGATGATAAATTTGCTCATGTGATCTATTTGATGGTTAAGTATACATGAATACGTCTAGGGGTTACATTCCAAGTGTTTGTAACTTTTTATCATTTGGTAATTGATTGGTAGGTTGATCCAAGTACTTTACATTTCAAACTAGTCATTTAGCTAAGATTTTGATCGTTGCTAATATTGACAGCTCATGCAGGACTTGGGTCTTTCGTTTTGGGAAGTTCTGCTCTATCTCTTTATGCACATTAAAGTTATGGAAAGTATTTTCCAAGGAAGAGGTCTCAATTCTCAAGCATATGCTAAACCATCTGGGAGCATGCACCATGCGTACCACAACCTTCAACTGGAGAAACTTTATTGTTGTCCTTAAGAATATGAAATAAACGATCAATCATTGGATGACATTCAACATGTTCAAAACCCAAGGTATTATTGCTTTCTCATAATACGCTATTGTATGCATCTCTTCTTTGGCAGGAAGTAATCCAATCTTTGGTCATGGTTACATGCCTATTTAATGGTGTTTCGTTCTCTTCTTTGACTAAGAATATTGAGGGGGTAACAGCTTTCTTTGTTTTGATATGGTTGATTTAGCTAAACATACTTCCTAACTATCAAACAATAGGAAGCAAAAAAGAGTGAGTTTGCATTTTACTTATCAACCAAAGCAAAAACATAACAAATTTCTCCCGTTGAGCTATACTATTAGCCCTCTAAAAGCTAATATGGTATATATATATTTAAAGTTAGAATCTTTTTTCTTTTGGTCAGTAAGATCTCTTTTGGAATTCTCTTAGTAAATTACACATGGCAGTATTTATGTGTCATTAACTCATTATTATAAATAAAGGCAACATAGCTATTGTCCTATTAGAAAGGTGCACCTTTTATGACATAACCTTGCCATTCTTGAGTAGTTCAAGCAAAAAAGAAAAGTAAATCTAATTTGTTAAGGGAGAAAAACTGATGCCAAGCAAAAAAGAAAAGCAAATCTAATATTGTGTATGATTCTAATATTGACTTTCACACATTAGTTTGCCTATTCATTTTATTTGTTTATTTTAGTAGTACATAACAGCTGAATTGTAGCAAAGTTTCTCTTTATTTAATATCATTGTTAAAAGGTGATAGTTCTTTTAGTTATCATATTTAGTTGTAGCAAAGTTTCTCTTTATTTAATATCATTGTTAAAAGGTGATAGTTCTTTTAGTTATCATATTTAGTACTATCTTATTAAATTTCTCATATTTGAGTTCTTTTAGTTATCATATTTAGTACTATCTTATTAAATTTCTCATATTTGAGATTTGGCTGACTAATATATAAGCAATTGTCTAATTTAGATTGACTTCTTGACCAGATTATAAAGAAAATGTGTGTGGAAACTAACATGTTGACCTTGATCTTTGTGAATTTGGGGATAAGTATTGAATCCTTACTAAGTGTAACAAAGTGCAGATAAGAGCACTTTTTGTAAACATTAAAATTATTGAAGAATTAGTTATGTAGAAAATATATAGAAGAACATGTAACTAATGTGTGTTCTATTCCACTCTTGGTCGGTTATCTTCAAAGTTTCACCAATAGTACATACACAAGATGTTGCAATCTATAGCAATTGATGAAGCTTTGATATTGGATTTAGCTAAGCTATTCCCTTATATAATACGAACACCGATAGAAAGTTCCAATCATGCATGATTTCATAATAATCATTTTTATGAGTGAAATGCGAGATCTCTTAAATTACAGTCGCAACTTCGTGGATGTCAGTTTTTTCACAGCTTCTTTCACAACACCTTCGTCTCTGAAACTAATTGACAAAATAACAGGTAACAATCTTCATAATTATGTTGCCTAATTTGATAATTAATTATAATCTACTGCAATAACCTTAAATTATTAAAATTTCCTTCCATGCCAAATCATGAGATAAAACTGAAAGTAGGAACTCTAATTATTAAATATTTTCACACATTTATGCACTGAAAAGTGTAACGTCCCGCCCTGGAATCCCGGAGTCGGTATGTTATTAGCTCTGATGGACTGGCCTCACAAACCATCACATGTCTTTTCAACACGTTTTGTCCTCACTCACGCGCTCCCTGGAAAACTTCCCAGGGGGTCACCCATCCTAGAATTTCTCCAGGCCAAGCACGCTTAACTTTGGAGTTTCTAAGAGTTGGGTTTCTGAAAAGAAGATGCATCTTGATGATATGAGTATTCCAATCAAATCTATCAATACTAATCACATCACCCTCTCAAGGGTATTACAATCTCCCCCACTTAAACTCGCAACGTCCTCGTTGCGCCAAATCATATCATCCAAGACCGTACCATCCGTGTGAGATTCTAGAGGTGGCTCCTACGGCCTCAATAGGTGGCTCCCGTCCTCTCGATGTAGCACTTTGCGCCGCATAGTGTTTGGTGGAAAATTTGCAAATAAGAAAATGAATAAAAGAATTGTGTTTGATTTTATTCTCTCTAACTGCTTAGAAAAAGAATGATTACAATTCTCTCAACTCTCGATTACAATTTGAATTCCTGGTTACAAAAGAGAAGAGAATGATCTGGATTCTCCCCTTTGTTTAATTCTGGGTTCTTCACGGTGGCGATGGAGTGCCTCCCTCGAATCCCAAGCTCCAGAAATGCTCTAAGGATCCTGTTGACTAGCCAAGAAGTTCCTCCAACCGACCGCCTGAAAGATCCAGCCCCGAACTAAGTTGATTTCTTAGTTATTTATAGGGGATTAAAGGGTGTAACCACCTCCTTAATTCGCTCCTAAGTGGGGCTAATGAGATGTAACCACCCCTTAAATCACTCCTGAGTGGAGTTGTGATCCCCTCGTATCGTGGGAAACAGTTTTGGAACCGTTCAGCTCGTGTTTGAACGAGTCAAACGCAGGCCCGCGTTCTGACGTGAATTCTGCATTCAAACGCAGTGTCTGGAAGCTTGAACGCATCGTCTGGAAGTTCAGACGCAGCAATTAGAAGCTGCGTTTGCAGCGTTGGAATCTACGTCTGAGCTGCGTTTGCAGCGATTTGGAAGATGCGTCTGGCGGTGATTTGAGCTGCGTTTGGCGACGCATCGTCTGGAAGCTCAGACGCAGCAATTAGACGCTGCGTTTGCAGCGTTGGAATCTACGTCTGAGCTGCGTTTGCAGCGATTTGGAAGCTGCGTCTGGCAGTGATTTGAGCTGCGTTTGGCGGCGATTTGAGCTGCGTTTGGCAGCGATTTGAGCTGCGTCTGTCAGCGATTAGAGCTGCGTCTGGGTTGCGTTTGCAGCGATTTGGAAGCTGCGTTTGAGCTGCGTTCGTGGCTATGAACGCGGCGCATCTTGATGCTGGTACGTGGGGAGGACTTCCACGTCTTGGTTTGAAGAGACCATTGATTTGTAGTCTCTTTCTGTCGAAGCGTTGCAAAGATCGTCATTTTGTAATCTTTACTTTAGCTCTTTGATATGCAAGAGTCGTCAGATTGTAACTCTCGATGTTGATGGTGAAGGCTGTTAAACTAGAGCTCTCATCGGTTGTCGTGAAGGTCGTCAGATTGTAACCTTTAGCGATCTACGTGAAAGTTTTCAAATTGTAGCCCTCTGGAAGTCGTCAGATTGTAACTTCCATCATCGGTGTTTTGATGGGGATCAACTATCTATTGTGATTTTTTTTTGACAACCTACAGAACCCCCTCCAAAGTTTTCGAAAGTTCGCGGTTGACTGGGACGAATTTTCGGAATACTTTGGATTTCAACTCTGATCTTGGAGCTGTTGATTCCTTGTGGTAAAGGATTTGTTCTCTGCACTTGCTTCGAAGGCATCTTGGTTGAAGGGATTTGCCACGTAGGACCTGTGTGAAGGTATGCGCCATAATCCTGCTTCTGGACTGTGGTGGTGGACCCTGCATTTTGAATTTGGAACACGGGTGTGACCTCGGCGTTCGGTTTTTGTATCGCGGGTCTGACCTCAACGTTTTGACTTAAGACAGGAAGTGGCTTCCGTGCATTTTTGACTAAGTCTTTGAGACTTTTCTTTGGCTCATCTGTTTTAAGTCTCAGCTCACATCCATTAAGCTGATGGACCTGCAAATGTGCATAGGATTTTTGGCAAAGCCTCAGCCATCAACGGATTTGATAAGCCTTTACCGACTACCGTTTGAGTCGGGCTAGCATGTGGATTGTCTAAGTCCGTTCCACATGTAACGTTGTGCTAAGAGAATGAACCCTCTTAGACTTGATGCTATGATTTTGAATACATAGACTTTGTCATTTTCACGGGAAAAGACTAACCGGCAACGCGTGTTAGGCGTAGGCTTATCTCTAATTAGGGATCGAGATAAAGTCCCCCATGCGTAAAAGGCATGGATTTTGGTGCTACGATGTTGAATACGTAGACTTTGTCGTTATTTCTTCCTGTGTTACTTGAAACACTGAAAGAAAGTTGGAAGCGCCAGAGGTGTAATATTAACTTGGCATGAATTTTCACTTAGAGTGAAATTCAGAAATTTTCTTTATTATCACTGGGATAACTTCAGAAAATCTTTAATCCGTTGGGGATTTTATAATGACAACTTGCTATTCTTGTTGAAAAAGGATTAACAAGTTCATTGGGGGGTTTGACTGTTAGAGGTGTGATGTTAACCTAACAGTATTTTATGGACCTATCACTCTATTGAAGAGAGTCGATAAGTTGATTTGGTCGTCAGAGGTGTGATGTTAACGTGACTGGAGGATGTTGCGATTGGAGCAACTTTGGGGACTTATCATCCTATTGACGAGGATTGATAAGTGGATTGTCAGAGGTATATCATCCGATTGAAGATGATTGATAAGTATGTTTTGTCAGAGGTTTAGTGTTAACGTGACATGATTTGTGTTGCGATTGGAGCAACTTTGTGGACTTATCATCCTATTGACGAGGATTGATAAGTGGATTTTTTCAGAGGTTTAGTGTTAACGTGACAGGATTTGTGTTGCGATTGGAGCAACTTTGTGGACTTATCATCCTATTGACGAGGATTGATAAGTGGATTTTGTCAGAGGTTTGATGTTAACTTGACAGGAATGTGTTCTTGTGACTTGCACAAGATTTTAGGAATTAGCGTCTCGCTGGGGAAACTTGCTAAATGAGTTTATCATCAAAAGCGATAAATTTTGATGCTTGTGATTTGAACAAGATTTTGAAGACTTAGCGTCTTGCTGGGGAAGATTGCGATTTGGGCAATTTTGAGGACTTATCATCCTATTGAAGAGGATTGATAAGTTGATTGTCAGAGGTGTATTGTTAACGTGACAAATTGGAGCGATGCCAGCTGTATTCATACTCTGTGGGGTGACGATCGTCAGAAGTGTAATGTTAACTTAACGATGTGAAAGATTTATTACTCTTAATCCAATGGATTCCAAGTAACCAACCCCCAGTCTTGATTAAGACTTAGCAGGGGAATAAAAAGAGGTAGACAAGGCACATCACCTAGTGGGGCACTATCCATGAAGTCGGAATAGAGGCACATCACCTGGTAGGCCATTATCTGATGAGTTTGACTATCAGAGGTAACTGTTAACGTGATAGTTTTGTGGACCCGCCATCCTACTTGAAGAGGATTGGTGGGGGAATTTGGAGGAAAAGGACTATCAGAGGTGACAGTTAACGTGATGGTTTTGGTGGATTTCGTGGTTGACGGAGGTGTTCTATTGAACATGACAACTACGAATAAACCAACCCCCAGTCTTGAACAAGTACAGGGGAAAAAGGGTAGACATGGCATATCGCCTAGTGAGCCATTTTCTAACGAGTTTGACTATCAGAGGTAATTGTTAACGTGATAGTTGTTGGACCTGCCATCCTATTGAAGAGGATTAGCTTCAATAGTCGTGGTATCTTCCTCTTCTGACTGAGAAGATTGGGCTTGGTCCGATTGCTCAGGTGAAGGTTGGGCTTGGTCCGATTGCTCAGGTTGATCCTGTCTACTTGGTTCTTTAGCTTTGATCCTGGCAATGATCTTTTGAGCCTGTTCGCCTTGAGAGATTAGTTGTCTCCAGGAACGGCATTCTGCAACTCCGATTCGGGCTAGGAGGTCTGTCTGCAAGTTGTGCCGACAAGTCTCTACTAAAGTAGACTGTGTCATACCTGACGAACACCGGAGAGCCATGGTTCGGAACCTCTTGACGAAGGCTTTGACGGACTCCCTCTTCTTCTCCTTAGTGGCGAGAAGAGTATGGATGGAGACTTCAGTATCCTCTTCAAAGAATCTTGACAGGAAGAGTCTCTCTAAATCTACCCACTTTTGGATACAACCCGCGGGCACCACAGGAAGTTTCCTGAACCATTCAAAGGCACCTCCCTGGAGGGTGCCAATGAATAATGGAGCCAGTATGGCGTCGTTTGATATCACATTCCCAGTCTGTGACTTAAAATGATAGATATGTTGGTTCGGTGATCCCGTGCCGTCAAAAGTTTGTAGCGTCGGGACTTCGAATTTTGGAGGATAAGGGGCTGCATCCCATTCGGCAGGATAGGGTCTGACAACTCCCTCTTCTTGGAGCTCGCTTCTGTTGGCCATGGCATTAAGGCGGGCTTCTAATTCTTCCATTTTGGCAGACTGGAGATTCTGTTCGTTCTCCGTCTTTCTTCCTTCATCAGAGGAAGATTCCAAGTTATGGGCTTCTTGGTCAGAAGCCGTGTCATCAACCACTTTTTCCTTCCCTCTGCTTGTGTGAGGTCGGGATGAAGACGTTTTTCCTCTCCGGGAGGATTCTTGCCTAGGTGGTGAATCTGTCTTCTGAGATTTGGCCTTGTCTGCGACAAGTTGAGTCAACAGGGCCAAGAGTTCATTGATGGCCTCCTGCTGAGATTTGAGCATGGCATCCTGCTCGTCAAGTCTCTTCGCGAGATCGCCTCCTGCTCATCAAGTCTCTTCGCGAGATCTTCATGGCTTTCTGTCATATAGGCGGAGCTTTCATGTTCAACAAAGGAACTTGACGATTGAGACTCCGCGATGGCTGAGTGTTCATCATCGGAATTGGTTCCTCTGGCTAACCTCCGATAATTGACAGGGAGAATGGTTCCTGTTCGCGTCCGAGTGCGTTGGTAGACTCCTTCAAACTCGTTAGCGATTTCTCTGACGGTCGGCGAACGACTTGTCTCAGAGTCATCGGAACTAGGACCTGAGACTTTCCCTCTGCTGATCACATTGATAGTGACCTCGGGATATTCGGTCTCTGGAGACTTCTTCCTGTGAGAACATCGTCGTTGGTTGGGCAAAGCAACGTTCGTAAATTGGTCGAACACTAACAGTTTGGCCGCATATGAGCAGCATTGACATCCCGAGAGGACCGTAGGAATCAGCCGTTCACATTGAAATGAATGAATGATTTGTTGCATCGGTCTTTCTCTCGATATGAACTCACTCAAATCTATTGTGAAGATTCGAGGAGAATTGCTCACTGATCGTGAGGTTTGAATTGGAACCCCCAGTCCATGATTGGACAGGACTGGCTCTTGGTGAACATGGATCTGGTTGAGATGCCTTGAATCCATGGACTTTTGACATCCGCCCCTCAATCTAGTCGCGCTACGCAGAGTATTCAGGGGGTCCGAGGGGGATGGAATACCCCCCGACGGGGG